CCAGATTTTGGTGTTAATTTTGTCTCCTCTTTCAATTCATTCTGCAATCAGTATTGGAAGTTCATTTTTTAGGTAACTACCCAATTTTATTTTGAAGCTTTTTATTATAGAATTTTCTAAAATTTGATTCAAAATACTCAGTAAATAATTTTAAATTTTAGATTTTTAAGGTTCTTGTTTGCTTTTGCATGCTTATTCATTAATATCTATTCAGTTATTTTCTGATTTTCAGAGCTTTTTAGCACGTTTTGATATGATTTTTAACATTTCAGCCATTTCCTTTTTCTTGTGTTATGATATTTGTTAGTTAAAAGGATCATACATCAAAATACTTTTTAGTTTACAATTTTTTAATAGAACATCTTTGCGGCCTATATATACGATGAGCTTATAAGAATTTCTAAGTCTAATATTCGGATGTTAGCTAATATTTTTTGTTTTATTAAATTTGAATTAAAGTTGTATATTAAAAATGTATATTCTCGGAAATGATACTATAAGTATATATTTAGGTGAATTTTGCTACTTGTACGGATTGAATCACTTCGTAAAAGTACCAGATGCAATGTTTGCAACACTGCATTAGCTGCCAACACTGCATTTTTTGGGTAGTGACCAATGACACGATATTGTGTGTCATCCTGTTAAGTTGTATGAATAGTTTAAATTAAGAAGTCATACTGTCTTTTCATTTTTTTAAATATGGATAAAATCAATTTCTTCATCTATCATGGCGATAAATGAGAAAAATATAACTAATTCATAAATTAACGCTTGATTGGCACATTACCGACCACCTCTTCGACTTATTGTGCAAAACTCCCTATAGTTAGTTTAGTCTTTAAAAACAGAAAAAATTGGCAAAATTAAAAAAGAATAATTGCATGTGTGGTCTTGAACTTTTTATTTTTTTGCAAATTAAACTCAAACTTTCTATTTATACCACCCACAATCCCAAACCTTTAAAAATTCATATTCTTCCCCAATTTTGTGCCTAATTGGCTAATTTATCTTGTTTTCAAAGAACTGATTCACATCCCGCCTCCGAAAACTCAATTATGCTAGGCTGACAGGGTTTATTGACAGGAAATTGAATAGGGTTTCCCGGAAATTATTAGCCCATACTGGCGGAGCTGATCTATTGCACGGCCCAACGCATCAAATTATTATTAAGTTTGAGCCTGATGAGGGGCTTTTTCAAATACTCAAGCCATGATCTTTCATCTTCCCAGTTTATATAGAATTTCGACAAATTTGTTATATACTTTTTTCCAATATGAAATATATAATCTATTTCATCAAATTGAAACAGAGAATCGTACTTTTATAGAAAAATATGAAATAGTGAGCATTTTACATCATTGATGTCAAGCTTCCAGGAAAACCGAATAATTCACAGTTTTTCGAAATGGTAAGCAAATTTATTACTAGCTTTGAACAAGAGACATTCAGAAATTCAATAAATTGGCCAAAGGTGTGAAATTGTCAAGCCAAGGGCTACGAAATTGTGTCCAGAAAGAGTCTTGATTCCAGTCCATGCTCAATTTGGGTAATTGGAGATCCTCCATTTTCGGTTTACTACTTGGCAACATTATACTGTTAGTCGAAATCTTCGTTAAACTTTCCTCAGATGCATCACTATATTCACCCTCTAACATGGATTCCATGGATGACATGGTTGGAACTGTCTTTACTTGTTGATGTTCCATTGCTGCAGCCCTCTGCTCCATCATCTTCAAAGAGGTTGCCTTCCTATAAATTTTGCACAGTACGATGTCAGATGTATCTGGTAATCGATATTCGTTCATGATCCAATCAGTCTTTTGTCCTCGAGGCGCTCTCCCCTCGTAAAACACGAGTGTCTTCTTCAGACCCAACATTCTTTTTGGATCAGAAATGCTTAGTATTTTCCGATCAGAGCCTGTTGCCTTCCAAAACCCATTTTGAGTTGTCCTGTTAGGCCTCCCTCCACTCCCATGTTTCTTGTCTCTTGGCACAAAGAAGTACCATTCTCTCTCCCCAATTTTCGCCAGCCCTGTTTCAAGAAAACAATATGAGAACTTGCACACACTCTTCTTGTCACTGTCTCACATTTTAACATACTAAAAAGAAAGAATTTTGAACATTGCTTAGTTACCTGGCAAATCCCAAGGAGCGTGACGGTAAATATTAAGATAACCTATGATATCAGCGCTGCGCAATTTCTTCCCCGAGACCATGTTTTTAAGGTAGAAACTGAGGAGTTCTTCCTCAGTAGGATGAAATCTGAAACCTGGCAACTTAAGCTCCGAGGTTGATTCATCCATTGGCATTGTAAGTTTTTCAGAAATTGTTTGTTGCTGTTGTATTAAGGCATGCAAACTTTTATAGTAAGTGGAGGCACAACAATTTAGTGGTGATGTGACAGAGAAAGACCTGAGTTTTTAAATAACGAGTCTTCGATAGAATAAAGTAGGGAAAGGAGACTTCATTTCACGCGTTTATAGTACAGATACATGACACTATTGTCGTCACCTATTTCAATCTTGAAATTCAATTACATTGTATTTCAGTTTCTTCCAAAAGCTTCAAATTTCCAAGAAAATCAGTTTGTCAGAAATTTAAGCATCTTGACTTAGTCATATTAACAAATGGGTTATTTACTGTTTGCAACTCTAGAATTATACAAGTCTCGTGTCCTTTTTTTTTTTTTTTTTTTGATACCTAGGTGTCCCAGATTCGTCAGACTAAATCCTGGACCCCTAGCCACCGATCCCTCAATGATTAGTGGAGGTAAACCGCAGATTGTGCCCTTGTTGGATCACAGATTCCCACCTGGTCTAAACTCCTGGCCTCAAGAGAGCTTTCCTCTATAGTGATTGATCCACCAATAAATTGCCCCTTTATTGGATCACAGGTTCTCACTAGGAATCGAACTCTCCACCCTGAGGTTGGGAGCACGCCAAAAGTGATTGATCCACCAACTCGGACGTGTCCTTAATTTGTTGTTTCGTTGTTTATCTCTTCAGTACATTCTACAATGTATTAACACATTATTTCTTCTTAGCAAATAAAAAAAATTACATCGAATTGTCAAAAATAGATATCTATTCATTATTTAATTTTCAATAAAATTATAGAATTTTTTATTCCGGTAAATTTCAATCATCATAATTGTGAGTGTGAAACAAGAAGTGATACTCAAATTTTTGAATTCAAAGAAATGAATATATTCTTTTCGCGTTGAGTTCAATACTTTGTAAATAATTTCTTTCACGACTCGGTCCAAGTTTACTAGAGCTTCAAACTTTATTCTAAAATCTTGACATTCTTGCTCGAATAAAAATTCGGTTATGAGAACAAAAATATAAAACATGAAAATCGATCTAGTCCTATTCAGCTTTGATTGTTATTTGTTTTATAATATTGTAAATTATTTTCTCTTGTTTTAAAAATTCTATTGATTGCATTTTTTGTGGAGTGAAAATAATATATTTATTGATTTATTTTAAAACATCATTCTTGTTAATGATCATATAATTTTTTTACTTAATTATTAAACTTTCATTTATGTTTCAGTATAAGCAGTACGTCTGCCTCTGATTGCTAAATTCATAAAAACTCTAAAATATTTATCAGAAAATAATTTTATTCATCATCTTGACTAAACTAATCTATTAGAATTAGATGAAATGTCAAAACCTAAACATAATTTAATATCATCGAATGATTTAGAAAGTAATAAAGAGTGCAATAATCTAAATGAAAACAGCATTTTTTTTTCTTTATATCATTGTCAAGATTGTTATCATTGTCTCCGTAAAAAGTCGAACGAAAAAACGATGCTACACGTAAAGAAGAGAGGTTCATAATTTTTATTTTTATAAAATAAATATGTCGATGTATTATTGAACAGTTAGAAAAAACAATAAAAAATCATCCACACAATTACTGTCAACGTAGCACCTGAAATTGTTCTGTGAACCACAAGGACTTGTTCAGCACAAAACCAAGTTACAAAGACATAACCGCGTAAACGGCATTGTTTGTATTCGATTGATTGATGCACCCACATTCTTGACTCTTGACTTGGAAAATCTTACAAAAACTGGGCCCACGTTCTTGACTCTTTAGTCATCGCTAGACTTGCCATTTTTCTTTTTTTGACTTTAATCATTTCTCTTTCTTCAATATATGTTTGGGTAATAATTGAAATATTTTTTTATTTATACTTTTCCTGTTCCAAGATGTTTAATGAAACGAGTGGCTTTCTTTGTAATTTCCTAGAATGTTCATTGTTGTAGCAGTTAATTAAAGAATTTAAACAATAATTTTGATTTTTTTTTTCTTTTGCACTTTGTGAAAAAAGGAATTAGGGATAGAAAAGAACTGGGATTTTAATTATAAGAGTAGTTGCTCAATGCTCGTGTTGTCATTGTGTTGGCGGGTTTGTCTTTACCGTTGGTGATTTTGGCCGATAATGGGAGTGGCCAAGCAAATGGATCTTCTACAGCTGTTATCTCTTTAGGGTCCATTAAAATGTTGAAAAATGCCAAACGATCTCGAGGGTGATCGCACACTCATATGCTCGGCGTGGGTCCTCCATGAATAAAATAATTCTAAACCCCATGTGTGTGTGGACCGGTGTGTCAACCTCGCAGTCATTTTTGCAAGTACTGTAACACGGCTGTAAAATGTTATAATGAGTTCTCACTTTATTTAAATAATTGAGAGGTTATTTTATCTGGACAATGTTTCTTTCACTTTGTATATATTAGAGAAATTTATTAAATAACTTGTCAAATGCTATTTTATACTGGAATTATTTAACAAGTGATCACAAAAATTCAAATATTTTAAAACGTGTTTCAACTTTCAATAGAAAAAAACCTTTTTATTTCAAGAAGTGTTACAACCATATTTTCGTAACTATAACAAAAGTAAAGGGAGTGGGAAAATGACCGTGATGTCAAGTTTGTAATAAAATATCCATTGTATAGACATAATGGGAGAACAATAAATTATATTATTGGACAAGATGGAGATTCACAGTATATTTTATTATAAAGAATGTCATTTGTAGAGAAAATTATCGGTTGTCGTCCTACATAGAATACGTGTGGTGATTTGTAACGCATGACGACTATCGATAATTTTCACTTTAAATAATACTACTCTTTATTATTATATGAAGATTATGTTTCCCACTTGTGATATTGACGTGGTGAGTAACTATTTCTTTAATTTGTATTTAATTGTTGCGTTGATATTTCAGTTAATTTAATAAAGGAAAATCTATTTAGCCCCAGATTGGAAACCGTACACCCCCCTCCCAAAAGGAGTTTTGAATAGTGATTTTTAGAAAAATGTGTAGTTAAAAAGTAGGGAAAAAATTTTAGTGCATGTTTCGCTCTGATTTTTCATATCAAAAAATCATTTTTTTGATCGTTTCAATTGTAATTTTTGACTTCTTTTCTCGCAGATGGGATCCACTTTTCTCCCTAACGATTAAAAAAATCAATTCTCATAATAACTATTGAACAAGCCCTTAATTTACGTGTACAATATTTTATTGTGTGAATGTATGATTAAATATAATTATGTCAAAAGGGAATGTGAAAGGCATAATTGTCAAACATGGGATCAGTATCCTTTTTTACATGGGTCATTTTGAAAATGATAATATTTTCAAAGATTTGCACAAAGTGTAATTATATTCAAACTCCAATTTTTACTTTTATTGTATTATATTTTAATTGCACTTAAGATTCTTAATCTTTGTCCATTATAACACTTATATTCCGAATAGTTTTTCATATCATTCTTATTCTCAAAATTTTCATTAATTAACACATTTTTATTTAATAATAGTTTTATGTCCAAAAGTACATTAAAATAGCTATTTCTTTTTCCATCATATCTCCAAAATATAATTAAATAAAAAGTGTGAAAATATTTTTCCCTCATTACAAAGCATGAAAACAAAACATTTCAATATAAATCAACATCAATGACAAAACGTTCTAACTAATAGAAGGTTGAAGATAAGAATTCGACGAAAAAAGTTAAGAAAACATTTGTTGCAACGAGCAAAGATTGAGAGACTTAACTACAATTAAAATATAGTGTATTAATAAAAATTATGGTAGCAATATAAACACCTGTGCACAATTATCATTTTAGTAAAATTTAGACTAAAATACAACTAAAAATAAATTTAGATTCCAAATAAATTCATATTAAGAGTCTGTTTGGGAGTGATTTTTTCCTTTAAAAAATTGATTTTTTGACTGTTATTTCACTATTTCAACAATCATATTTGACTTCTTCTCTCACAGGTGGATCCCACTTTTCTCGTAACGATCAAAAAATCAATTTTCAAAATTATTTCCAAACAGACTCTAAGAGTTGAACCAAAATACCCTTAAAAAGTAACCCCACGTTTGAAATTATGATACTTGACATTCAGGGGTGGAGCCACACAAACTTTCTGATAATTTTTTTCCCTTTCCTGTAGCATTTCCTTGCGTTAGGTTAATTTTTTTGGGTTAATTCTTCATTTTTGTGTCTAATCAACTACTGATTTAACTTCCACTTTCTGATAAATTGTTGCGTAATATGCCTTATAAGTACGAAGATGGAAACCTCAATTTTTGTCTGTCATATTTTCCCGTGGATTTTACTTCACCAAGTGATTTGTTGTTGATAGTAAAAAATGATGGGTACCGAATTGCTGGTAAGTGGTATCCCTGATGGCAAGTGATGAAGAGATTGTGGAAAGTATATCCGAGGAGCTACTCGAATCAAGAACATTGTTTCGAAGTCTATTGTTATTGATTCTTCTATGGATGTTAGGCAAATCCGCTGGCAACTTCTTGTGTGCATAACTTCTAATTAACTTATTTTCGTCACAATTTTCAACTGTAGTCACTCTCATATTACTGCATAATTGTGCTACGTTAATGTACAATTTTTGGCATGCAAAAATGTGAAAGCATTAGTCGATTAGTAGCACATTTCTTTGTTATTATTTTTGGATGCGCCGTGTCATCTTTGCACAAGGGTTATGCAAATCTAGTATCTACACCACATCGTTTCAATTTTATCCGATGTCTCGGAAAGGACAAAATAAAACTTGGACCGCATGGTTATGAAAATATTTTCTTTACTATATAATTTTTGCCCCCCCCCCCCCCCCCCCAAAAAAAATATTCTAGCTCCCCGCTGACTTGAGTGTACCCCATTAAATTGTGAAGTCGAATTATTGTCTCTGTGCAAAAAGCCCCCATCAGGGAGATGCAAGGGCTGAGCCTCTGAATCAAAATTTCATTAAAGACAATTTAGAAAGTTCATACTTGTAATTTTGATTCTGCCATAATTTG